AGAGAAGGGACAGAGCGGTGTGGAATAAAGGTAAATTATGTGGAAAAATAATGCGTTTTTTAAAAAACGAAGCATGAACACATGTTAGACTGCACCCCATAAACACAATCAAGCCTAGAAAAAACCCAGTCAACCACCCCTTTAATCAAAAATACACAAAAAAAAACTGTAATATTGTGAAATATTATTACAATTAAAAATAATGTTTTTTTTTTCTATTTTAATATACTTTAAAATATTAAAAATAAATAAATAAATAAATACTGACCTCAAGCTTTTGAACGGTAGTGTATATTGTTACAAAAGTTATATTTTAAATAAATGCTGTTCTTTCTTTAACTTTTTATTCAAAGAATCCTGAAAAAAAGTATCACAGGTTATAAAAAAATATTAAGCAGCACAACTGTTTCCAACATTGATAATAAATCAGTATATTAGAATGATTTCTGAAGGATCACGTGACACTGAAGACTGGAGTAATGATGCTGAAAATTCAGCTTTGCATCACAGGAATAAAATATATTTTAAAGTATATTAAACTTTTGGTCAAATAAATGCAGGCTTGATGACCATAAGTGACTTCTTGCAAAAACATAAAATAGTAATGTATCCAAACTGTTTTTTTTTTTTTACATGGCCCCTAATTTAAATTTTAGCCCCTGCCCCTGAGGAACATTCTGCACGTCCCAGATAATTCTTCAGTTTATTATGAAAATGTTCATCCATATGTGGATCAGTGTCATTTTAGCATAATTGAGATACTATTATAACTTTAATTATTTTTATTTTTTTATATGTTATGTTTTCATTTTAATTTCAGTTAGAGTTTTAGTAGTAATTTTGTTGTGTTTTCTCATTTCTATTCGTTTTTTTATGTGTATGCATATAGTTTTTGTTAATATTTATTTCAGTTTTAATTGTAGTTATTTTAGCAAAATGAGAAATGTTGTATTTTCATCCAGTTAAAATAAAAATGTTTAATTATTTTTTTATTCTATTTTATTTCAGTTAAAGTTTATTTTAAGTAACAGTTTTTAGTTTTTAGTAAACTATAATAACCCTGATGTAGATTCTGCATTTTAGTTGTAATTATCATTATTTACATTATAATATTATTATTTAGTTCTCACTATTATGAAAGATATAGTATTATCATTACTATTAAAGTTCTATCATAAAATAAAATAAAAGCTTGGCTGTCATGCTTTCAAATAATGGTATCACATATTTGTAACAAATTATATATCACAGATCTTAAAATTCCCTCATTTTTTCTTCTGAAACTCCAAAGAATTATTTGAAAATGTTTCAACTGTTTTTGTCCATACAATCCAAGTCAGCATGACTGATCAGAGGAATGCAAGTCAGCAAAAACAGCATGACTGATCTGTGGGAGACATCAAAATATATTCCACAGACATAAGACAGTCATATAAGTTTGAAAAACATGAGAATAAGTAAATGATAACAGAAACAACCTTTTAACCACAAACACTGAGGTCTAGCATTTGCTGGCAAGATAAAGATTATGTACATGTGTGTTTGCAGTCAGTAGAAGTGCTCATCTTGAGACATACCGGTAAACCTTTATTCTAGAACAAAGATGTTAGATAAAGCAACAAAACACATTCTGAACGTAGGTCTGTGGGTTTTTGCATGTATGAAATAAATAGCTGCAGCTGTTTTACCAGCAGTTAAGTTCTAAAGTATTATACATGTGAAAAAATGAGACAGGTGGAGACAACGAGACACGAAAAGACTCTGTCTCAGCAGACTGAAAGTCACTGATCCTTTACACTCTAAAAAATGCTGGGTTAAATATAACCCAGCTATTGGGTTAAAAAGGGACAAACCCAGCTATTGGGTTGTTTTGACCCAGCGGTTGGGTTGTTTTGAACCAGCGGTTGGGTTCAAAACAACCCAATAGCTGGGTTTGTCCCTTTTTAACCCAATAGCTGGGTTATATTTAACCCAGCATTTTTTAGAGTGTAAAGGATCAGTGACTTTCAGTCTGCTGAGACAGAGTCTTTTCGTGTCTCGTTGTCTCCACCTGTCTCATTTTTTCACATGTATAATACTTTAGAACTTAACTGCTGGTAAAACAGCTTTTAACCCAGCGCTGGGTTATATTTAACCCAGCATTTTTTAGTGTATACATGCAATTCACCTAATGGAAGCGAAATCCACCCATCCCACACATGATGCAGCACACAGGGCAAGCGCCTCAGGGAGGAATATTCGGTTACTGTGTTGGAAAGTGGAGCTGATTCAAAACATCAGGGAAAACAACTACAGGGAGGGACTTTAAGAAACACCCACACAGAGCTCTAACACTTTACTGAGGGGATTTAAACAGGTGGGTGTTGATGGTATAAACAGACATTCTTGTTTCCAATGTTTGCAGGCTTTTTTGGGCTGTTACAGCCCTGAATAAATGGTCAGTGTCTGTACACATACTGTGAATATAACTTCATTTTCCTTCTCTTTTTCTATCTCAGACACATGCACAAACACAGCTGGTTTGCCAGGCTACCAAAAAAGCAAAAAATAACTTAATACTTCCTCAAAGTGAAAGTGGGAGTGTGATGTTACCATGACCCAAGGGAGAGTTCACACCTAGTAATATCTGTCTCAGGTGATCTACAAGAGGTCAGCGCTAGGCCTGTCGCAATAATCAATATATCGACTTATCGCGCAATATATGTACATGACCTCAATAATTTTTGGTGACTCAATATATCGCCCATTATATTTACTTCATTTAGAAGTTGATTTTAAAATGCAAAGTAATTAAAATTAAAATTAAAATAAAGCTATGTAAACACTTGCATTTTTACAACACTATAAGTGTGTCCCATCAGGTAATGAAAAGTTCGACACACACTTGTGGTCTTCATGCTCACTTGAACACTTGGGCCAAATACAGGAAATACATCATATAAGTAGTCAAGTGGTCAAGTGCAAAGACCGCAAGTGTGGGTATTTGGACAAGGCTATAGAAACTTCCAGTCAGGTGTGTTGAGGCAAGCTGGAGCTAAACTCTGCAGGACACCGGCCCTCCAGGACAGAGTTTGGACAGTCCTGACCCAAAGTATAATAGTTTAAATATATATGAAATACTATTAGTTAAACTTTGAGTGCTTTTTTGACCCATTTAAAAGGTAGCTCACCCAAAAAATACAGGTTTGGAACGAGTGGAGGGTGAGTAAAATGTGAGTTTCATTTTTGGGTGAACTATTGTTTAAGTACGACTTAAGTACATCGTTATTTAAAATATACTTTAAAGTAAACTTTTTAATTCAACATTATTATAAAGTGCACTTTTTAAAAGTGTACTTAAGTGTGTTAAGAAACAGTCATGAAAGTGTACTCTATATAAGTATACTTAAGTGGCCTTTGATTTAATTAATATTACTTTATCTGCAAGTACAGTGTCAATCAACTAGCCTACTTAAAATATTAAAATAACAGTCAGAATAATCTTTCAATTGTTTACACATCCTTGTGTATCCTTGTGTTCACTTTCATGTTACTGAAGCGTCCAAAGAAGAAAGAACATGACATGAGCGGGAATAAATGATGACTTTTTCTTTTTTTTCTGCTTTATCAGCATTCAGTAACACATTGACATCAAAAGTGACGTATGCAGTCATGAAATCAGAGACATCCCATTGAATCTGAACAGAAAAGGTCGCACAAGATGCATGAAATGTCACTTACTTGGTTCCACACACACTTCCTTGTAGTCCAGACAGCAGGTGCCTTCATTTACACACGCAGTGTCACAGTGGCACACTGTATTAGAGTCACGACTTTTGGACAAGCAGCGATTTCTACAGCTCTCAGTAACTAGAAAACACACAAAATAAAGAGGACGTAGACAGAATGATATCTCAAATGTAATGTGGATATAATGACACAGGACTTCATTCCCAAGCTCAATGACACCAATCATTACACAATGGATTAAAGGGTGATAATAGATACTGTATATGAAATATATGTACCATTATATGAAAAAGATTATAAAGGGTGGGCTTTAAAACCACAACCACAATAAAAAAAAAAGTAGAAAACTGAAATACCTTTATCACTGCAATGGAGTTTGAGTATAAATATGATTGTGAGAATTAAAGCCAGCAAGCCAAGCAGAAGGACCTATAGGGAAAAAGAAAAGAAAAAAAAAACAAGAGGGCAAAAATTGAAGTTATACAAGATTCAGTACAGAAGGAATCATTTGCATTAAAATACAGTAATTTGCTTCGATTTTATTTGAAAAATGTAATAATAAAAGTTTATTTGACATAAATATTGCTAAATACATCCTGCTTGGAAAACATATCAGCAGAAATCAGCCTTGTAAGCCTATACAGGCATTTCACATATTATATATATATATATAGGATTTTGATGAATGGAAAGTTCAAAAGAACAGCATTTATTTGAAATATAAATCTTCTGTAACATTTTAAGTCTTTACTGTCACTTGTGATCGATTTATTGTGTCCTGACTTCTAGTTGAATAAAGGTGTGGAGTGTGATTCACTAAACTTGCACACACTTTTCATTCCCTCCAAGCTTTAAAGTGAATTGTTCAGTTTAAATAAAGGGTTGCTGAAATATGAGATGAGAAGTTTGGGAAACATTAGACAATATGCAGCTTTGCTGAATTTAGCATGTCATACTAAATCAAAATCGGGCCTTTTATTTTAGCATTTTGAAATCAGTTTTCTTCCTAGATGATTCTTCTAACTAATGATTAATACAGCAATGCATAACAAGCCATCAGCCTGCTGGTGACCGCAGCTGTTTGCTTAAAGTGATAGTTCACCCAAAAAGTCTGTCATCATTTTCTCACCCTCAAGTTGTTGAACGCAAATGTACATATTGTGAAAAATGTTGGTAACCAAACAGCTTCTGGTCCCCATTGGCTTTTTGTGTTCAGCAGAAGAAAGAAACTCACATGGGTTCGCATTAACTTGTGGGTGAGTAAATGATGACAGGATTTTCATTATTGGGTGAACTATCCCTTTAAAATGGGGTGAAGGAGGCATTTGAGTCAATATACTAGCATAGTTAAAAAAAATAAAAAAAAATAAAGGTATCAATATCAAATATTGCACACACCAGCCACACATTTGCACCTTTGTTTATGAAATAAAACTAGGAATTGTTGTTCTCGACCAGCTCAATTCAAACACTGTAACGCTACATTACACAATGAGGTACTTTATGCTGGCTTCTAGAGGTAATAACCAACATTTCCTCCGAAGCTCTAGTGCAGCCAGTTGTTACTTGTTCGCTTTCACAACGAAACACAGCGCCTTCACAGCTTTATAAACAGTGCAGTAGTGTTTTATAAAAAATAAAAAAAGCAACGTTTGATAAATTAATTCCCATGACTTTTTCATCACTTGTTCATGATTACAATACAAACTGCCATGACCTTTAAAGATTCTATTCATTTCCATTACTTTTCCTGGCTTGGATATCACATTAGTTTCCAGGTTTACATTGGTCGTGGGAATCCAGATGGTCAATGATGCAAGTGTGAGCTACTTATAAACAGCAGAAATGGTCAAATCGAATTTTAAAAAACAAACAAAGAAGAAAAAATAAAGAAATGGGGGAAAAAATAATCACAGAAACGTTACATACAATATAATTCTCCTAAAAATATACACTTTAGAAAACACGTATTTTTTTCTTATTTTGATTAAGTGCCACTTAAGCCTCAATATCTAACTTAACCCATGTGTACAGTATATACAGACTATACACTATACTATACTATACTATACTATACTATACTATACTATACTATAACACACTGGTCTTGTGGAAATATACTGTATATAAACTTACTTGAAATAAATAAATAAAAATAACAAAATAAAGTCTTTATCCAATCCATTAAGATTAAAAGTTAAATGAGTCAGTTGTGGGTTGCTTGTTTAACCTAGTTTCAGAAACCCGCTTTTATTTCCCCCATAGTGTCCCATGAGACTTCGCTTACCGCACAGAGGATTTTCAAGTATCTGGACTGTGTTTTTGTGGCGCTTTGTGTCCGTTTGGACCGCTGTGCTGTCCCCAGTAGGTTGGCGGCGTGCTCGCTCGTGTGTTCATCCCGCTTGGCTGAGTCCATTATTGATTGCGCGCTCAGTGTGCGTTGCACAGGTTTGTTTTGCAGGGACTCGTTTCAAACTTTGTTCTCTAGTAACTTTGTAGCTCGTGCAGTTCAAGGACCGCCCAGCTGCAGGCTAGTCAACCAAAGGTAACACGAGCGGCAGCACATGCCCTCAGCTTCTGTGTAATTATATTGTAACCAGAGAAAGTGCCGTCGACTGGGGCGAAGAATGGTTGCACTGAAATTACCTTTCTAATCTGTCGATATATGATGTGTATCGTGTATGGAACAGCGTCTTTGACTGATTTATGAAAGCTCTTCTTTTATTTCACTGACGCTTGCAACATTAAAGGGGTCATATGATGCGATTTCAATTTTCCTTTCTCTTTGGAGTGTTACAAGCTCTTGGTGCATAAAGAAGATCTGTAAAGTTGCAAAGACTAAAGTCTCAAATCCAAAGAGATATTCTTTATAAAAGTTAAGAGTCAACCACGCCTACCTAAAACGGCTAGTTCTAACACGCCCCCACATATCTACCTCACTATGTGGGAAGATTTTCATAACGCCGCCCAAATGTTCACGCAAAGAAAGAAGGCGTAACTTTTATTCTCACTGTAGTATTGTTGCCGCTGCCGCCATGTCGTGAAGGCGCTGTGTTTCGTTGTGAAAGCGAAACTACTTTGTTTGGTCTTCCAAAAGAGGACACGACTAGAAATCAGTGGTTAAGTTGTATTTACAACACTGTTCCAGAACAGTTCAACCCAAATATTCAGATGTGTGCAGCTCATTTTATGGAGGACTGTTTCCTGATCCTGGTAGAGTGGACTACAATGCCGGCTGTTGTGACTCACAGACTGCAAGTACAGTTTTTTTATATTTAAAGAATTTGCCACTGACGATTCAAATGTGTATTTTGAGCAGAGTAGAGTAGCGCTTAGAAAGGCGGGGCATAGAGGAGAAACAATAATGTACAGTATGTGGAAAATAATGTGTTTTTTTAACCTTAAACCGCATAGACACATTTCATTACACCAAATACACAAAATAATGTTCTTTTTAGCAACATCATATGACCCCTTTAAGAGCTTTGGGAACACTGTCAGAAAAAAAAAGTGCAAAGATTGTACTTTTAGGGGTACAGCAGCTTGTCACTGGGGGAGTGTGTTAATTGGACATCTTTGTACCTTCTTGACCCCTAAAGGGTGCATATTAATACCTTAGAGTAGTGATATGTACCCTTAAGGCAGTAATATGTACTTTTATGTTACTATTATGAAAGTACAGAGGTGTCCATTTGAGGATACTGCCCCAGTGACAAGCTGTTTGTACCCCTAAAGATACAATTTTTTTACTTTTTTGCTGACAGTGACAGACAGTGTATGTAGAGGAGCACATGTGGTAAATTAGACCAACTGTGTTTTGAACTGTTTTGGGGAGGAAAACTTTTGTTTGGATTTGTCAAATAGACTCTGCAAGTTGAAGTGTGGGAGATTCAGCCTAAGGTAAATGCCAATACTGGTTTGGAAATGTGTTGGCTGTAATTTGCATGGCAAAACAACTACAGAAATATGCAGCCACTGTGTAACATGCAAAATATGTTGCACCATCAAGGTTCAAGTCGTTATTTATCACTGAATGCATTCTGTCAGATTCCGCACGAATTGGTGCATTACGTTATGATGACCTCAATATGCATAAAAGAGGCTTGTATCTGCTTTCCTACATGGATATATTACACAACTACGTCCCCTCATGGTCAGTCGATGCATGTACACTTAATCATTTACCTGACATTCAGTAATTATACGAGCATGATCTGAAGGTAAGAGTGAAAGGTATTTGACCCATTCAGCCATCAAATCAACATCACAATCTGTATTTAATTTTCTGTCTTTATTATATGACCTCACTATAAGAAACGAGAAATGGTTTTTGAATCAACATAAACCATAAAATGTTGAATAAAATACCTGTTTTTACTTATTACCAGTTTTATTAGCCGGGTACCAGCTGTATTTCTATCCAAATGAAGATGGCAGTATTTTGCTGTTCATTATTGTTGGATATCTGTGATATCTGTTGTCTGAATCTGGGCAGAGCCAGCGACGCTGATTATCTGAGCTGACAGTGACCCAGCGGTTGGGTTACTACCCAGAAGGTTGGGTTAAACATTTAACCCAACCGCTGGGTCAAAACAGCCCAATTGCTGGGTTTGTCCCTATTTTACCCAGCACTGGGTTGTATTTAACCCAGCATCTTTTAGAGTGCAGAGTTCCCTTTAAAATATGTCTGTACATAAACGAACTGTCCGTTTTGTACCAATGGGAGGTTATGAAGATGAAACACGGCTGAGATGTGTTGACTCAACAGGCACATGTGCTCCCGTGGTGCTGAAGGAACAGCTCCGTGAGCCCCGTCGCAATGAAACAGCCCGGTGCTTCCTCATCACCATCACTCCTCAAAGTTTGCTGCTCATTTCATTCGCTCTGACCATGAAGAGACAAAACATCAGGACCCTCGTGTTAATCATCTGCACTTTCACTTATTTGCTCGTCGGAGCGGCTGTTTTTGACGCTTTAGAGTCCAAGATGGAGATCACCCAAAAGAAGGTCCTGGACGATCGGAAGCGAGAGCTAATGGACAAGTATAACTTGAGCAAAGTGAATTTTGACGAGCTGGAGCGGGTCGTGCTGCAGCTGAAGCCGCACAAGGCTGGAGTCCAGTGGAGGTTCGCTGGCTCCTTTTATTTCGCCATCACGGTTATTACCACTATAGGTATGTCAGACATTCATATCTCGTGTCCGTCAACTTGTTTTTTCATCAAACTTTTGTATTGCTGTCGTTTTGTTCAAGTTCGTCATACGAGACTGTGCGAATATGATTATGATAAATCACAAATGAGTTCTTGGTCGCCCACTAATCTGCGAGATCCGTGAGCGTATTTGCGTCAGTTTGATTAGTAAAGTACGCGGATTTTAGACTTTTAATGTAGGCTATAATAATAAAATGCACCGCATATAATTTGTTATTTCGAACGCTGAATTAATCCAAATGTAAATTAATTTATTTTCTGATGAGTAATAATAGCCTTGTGAATCGTTTTGGGGGTGTTTAAATAACACACCCCGGTAGAAAACCCAGTTTAAGATGGTAGCTGTGTTTGGAACATGCTAACTGATTTTTTTTCTAGCTAGTCTAAGATGGTCATTAGCTGGATCAAATTGTCTGTTAGTTGCTCTAAATTGGTCATTAGCAGGTCTAGAGTGGCAACTAGTCCAGTCAAGACATTAGCTGGCCATTAGCTGTTTAAAGCTGGTTGACCATTGTGGCAAGCATCTACAATCTTCTCATACTTGCTTAAGGGGGCTGCAGTGATTGTTAGGTTGCTGGTCAAGCAAATGACCATCTTAAAGACCAGCCAGAACACGTCCTCGTACTATGTTCAAAAACACTGCGACCAACTCAAACTGGATTGTCCAGCAGGGACACAGATAGCTTATGTGTACTTAAACTTACACAACCTTCAGAAAAAGTCAGACTTTATAGAGATGTTGAGACACCTGTGGGCTTAGCTTGGCAGAGCACTCTGTGTGTGACACTGGACAGCTCTTGAAGAATCAGACACTTAGCCGACAGAGCAGGGTTGTACAAGGTCTTTTAATTCATCCAAAGACCAACAGACCATGTTCAGTGACCACCCTTCATCTGTCCATGTCTCTCTGCTTCATTGTCTCGGCAATAGGAAATATGGAGTTGACATGGCATTTCGAGTAGTGACAGCACTGTCCTGCTGTGTGACCTGCTGTACTTAATCTAAAATGACATTAAACATATATTTGTTGTTCTTGTATAATATTATAGTTGCTTATTCATGGCTTCATATTAATTGAGAAACTACATTAAATTTTGTGATTTTAATAGTATATATATATATGGAACAAAAGATGAAAGGTAATTATAAATAAACAAACAAACAGGGACCAGTTAGAGCACCAACAATACTTTCCCTTATGCATTTATAATACATATATTTGTATTTATAATAAATTTTTGTATTATATATAATACATACATAATTTTTACATCTTCTTAGTCTTTAAATAATAATAATACCGCTTGTGACTAATTGTTTTGAATGTGTACTTGTAATGTTGGCCTACTTCAAATCTTAAAAGTAGGCCTATATTTAAAAAAACTGTACTTGCTATTATACACTAAAAAATGCTGGGTTAAAATAGGGACAAACCCAGCAATTGGGCTGTTTTGACCCAGCGGTTGGGTTAAATGTTTAACCCAACCTTCTGGGTAGTAACCCAACCGCTGGGTCAAAACAGCCTAATTGCTGAGTTTGTCCCTATTTTACCCAGCAATGGGTTGTATTTAACCCAGCATTTTTTAGAGTGTAATATTAATTAAATAAAATGTCACTTAAGTATACTTGAAAGAGTACACTTTAATGTTAAAAAGTGCACTTTGTGGCAATGTCAAATTTAAAAGTTTTATTTTGAAGTACACTTTAAATCATTAGGTTTTAATAATGTTTGTAAAGACGTATGCTCTGACAAACACACTAAAGCACAAGTACTTGGTGACAATTTCAACTGTGTTAAAACTGCTTCGGTAGTAAACTTTAACCATATTTCAGAGATTATAGAAGTAATTATGAAATTGCATATAAAGATGTACTTAAGTATTATGTAGGTGCGTCAAAAGCACTCTTACTGTAAGTTCAACTACTTGCATTTAATATAAATTTAAACTATAATAAAGTTTTATTAAAGTGCAATTAACATACAATTATGTTTCCCGAAAACATTAAGTTTGCATGTTAAGTCTGTTCTATACTATTTAAAGGTTCTTATAGACTAAACTCGGATCATTATGTAATGGACTGTAAATCATATTAAAATCTCAACCCCATTTTAGGATTCACAAAAACTCAACTTAATTAATTTTTCCATTGTCATGTGTGCTGTGTTTCCTCTTATCAGACACATCCATGGTCAGGTCTGTTTCATGTGTCTGCTATAGATCAGGTTACTGTGTACACTTGCCATGAGTAATCTAATCATCAGTTAAGCAACCAGCCTGCCAGCACCTTATTGTCAATGCAGGACACTCTGTAAACAAGGAACTGTTTACTATCTGCGGTCTGTGGTATCAGCTTAGTGCACTCAGCTAACCTGATCCATTAGTCTAGTGGAAGTTGGT